AAAATGGGGTACAGGAAAGACCCCGAGGAGGTGGAACTCAGCCCCCCAAAAATCCAGCCAGGGCTGAGCTGCTCCTTCACTTGGCGTCTGGCTGACTCATAAAGACGGCCCTTGTCCCCAAGCAGCGTGTGAAGGTCAAGCTGAGTGTCTGACCCTCCGCAGCTTGCTTGAGTTCAGCCCTGCAAAGCCAAAGTCTCCCCCAAGACCGAGGGGGCTGTTTGGCATTCTGGTGAGCAGAGTTGCCGAGGTGTGGAGAGTGGTCCTACCCAGAGTTCTGTGAATAAAGGAGACAGGATGTGAGGCCCGAGGACATCCGTACAGCGAGGGACAGCCCCTCTTAACAAGCACAGGTTACGTCTTCGGTCTTCGTTATTCTGGCTGGGGAATGGAAAGAAAAAGACAGTGTCCTCCCCTTCCGGCTCCCTTCCGTCCTGTGCTATCTGACCTCAGGCAAGGCAATTTAATAATCATCCAAACGCTTTTGACTTCGTAAGGGCTTTCATCCACGATCTCAAAGCACTTCACAAATTCCAACTCATTAACCTTCACAGCCCACCCTGGGGGACGTGGGGCGGGCATGTTTTCCCTGTGGTGGGAACACTCAGCTAGAGGCAGGGGGAAACAACTCTTCCTTCAAGGTCACCCGAAGGTTGAGCACGAAACTTGAGAGCGTGTTCCAGAGCAGCTGGCATCCACTCCAAGAGCAGCTGAGGCGGGGCCCTCAGTTCACCCTCTGTGTTGGATTCTTCTCTCGTTCCTGTCCCCAACACAGCTGACAAGAGGAGACTTAAGGGAGGATTTATTTTGACTCACAGTTCAAGCGGACATAGTCCCCGAAGGAAGAGAGGGCATAGTGGCAGGAGATCCGTGGTGGCAAGGGTGTACTCACACCTTGATGGACCACAAAACAGAGAACAGACAGGAAACGGACTGAGTTATAAAATCTCAGATCCCACCCCCCACAGTGACTCACTTCCTCCAGCATGGCTCTGTCTTCCTAAACAGCTCCAGCAGCTGGAGATCCGTGTTAAACACGTGAGCCTGTGAAGGCCATTTCACGTGTGCAGTTGGGCTAGCTCTGTACCATCTGCTCTCACACAGAGCAAAGGAGCCCCAACTCAGAAAGGGCTATGAGAAGCACTTACATGTTGTGTGTTTCATTTACGCCCTCCCTGGGATCTCCCGTGTCTACAGACTCCCGTCTTCGAGGCCAGGGGGAGCTTGAAGAATTCAACCCAAGGTCTTGGAACTCATGGTGCTAAAGCTGATACACTTATTTAGTTAATAACAACAACAATGTGTTAATATTCCCCACTGTTTTGAAATACCACCTGGATGAATACTCTGCTCCTTGAAGTCCACGATCAACTCATGAGCTGATGTAACAGGAATGCCCAAAGCCAAAAGGCCAGAAGCTTGCCTCATTTTCCAGAGGAAAAGGTAGCGTGACCAAAAAGCAATTCTGAAAAGAGAGAGCCGGGGACGTGCTGCAGGGGAGGTGGCAGACAGCAGAAACTGGATTGGTTGGGGTTCTTTCTACAAAGTGGGGGGGTGCCTGTCACTCGGCCAAGCCCAGGCTTTCAGGGAATGTCCAGGTGACCTTGAGCACAGAGAGCCTGTGCCTGACTTCTGCCTTCGGGAATTAGCCTCAACCCTTCTGCTGTGGGCCGCCACCGCCTCACCAGTGGGGCCCGAGGAAGCGTCGTTCCTGGGATTCCCTTGAGAAATGAGCTTTCTAGGTCACCACGACAGCCTCCTCAAGGGCAGCTTTGTCTTGCAGCACAACTGTGCATGGTCCTCGCGGATCGCAGGGTCTCATAATGACAAAGACCTGTTTCCACCGCAGTCTGTCCCCTTTTCATCTTCCTGAAAGTCCCAAGCTCTGATTGTTAGCGGGACCCAGGGCCAGAATATTCTGAAGCATCTCTCGTTCGCTCGTCCTCCCTGGTCCTTTTCTCTGCCACGTTCAGTCCCTGCTCCCTTTCCATTTGTAGAGACAAAAGAGGAGAAAAATCCCCCGTAGCACTGGCTGCTGTCCAGGGGCACAGAAGAAAAGCAAGCAAAGAAAGCAACAGAGGAGGGAACCGCAAAAGAGCGAGCTCAAACCAAGCTGCTCGAGGACCCTGCAGAGCTGGCCCAGCGGGGCGGGGCTATGGCTTCTTTCCCCTCTTCCTAACCTTCGGTTCAGAGTTCAGATTCCAAGAGTCAAATCAAGGGGTGCCTGGAAGTTACCCGCCGATCAAAACGTACCCTGGGTCTCTAAAGACTTTATCTGGCTTAATTCTGTTTCTGAGACTGTCCCGAGGGAACGATCTGGCTGGGGTCCCTCTAGAAGCACAGCCTGAGAGGAGGATTTGCAGTTTCTCTGGGTGGCGAAGCACTCCGGGAGACACAGGGATTGGGGAATATGAGAAGCAAGGGCGAGAGAGAAGCTGAAATGAGGGATATGCTAATGAGCTGTGCGGAGGGACAACCCTGTGAAGGCTGTCTGAAGGGCTGCACAGAGCCAACCTTCACAGTCGTCACTCAGAGAAACAAGGGACCTGGGACATTATCTGTCCCAACTGGGGAGGGACTGCTTGCGGCCATCACCATGGGTGCATGCCGGCTCTTCTACACCTACTTGCCCAACTGGCCAGAGAGCACGCTCAGACAGGTGACAGGTAGTCAGTGGACTGTCAGGGACCGTCTGCAAGCACGTCTAAGGAGGGCTGACATAAACGATTGCCGTAAAGATGGCTTCCATCGTTAATTAGCCCAACGGAACGGCAGTGTTGCTTGTTGCGGTGTACGCGAGGGTAGGCGCCAATGGCCCCGCTCAATGCCGTATCGCCCATTGTTTTCTTCAGCCCGGTGCTGGCTTCCAGAGTCACTGAGATCAGCAAAGGCAAATGCAGAGGACCCAGCCCTGCAAGGCTGGCCTCACTTGCGCCTTTGGAATAGAGTGTCCTGCATTCCAGGCTGTGGCCTCGAGCTTGCTATGCAGATGAGGATGGCCTTGAACTCCTATCCTCCTGTCTCACCTCCAGAGTGCTGGGATTACAGGTTTGGGGCCACCCTGTCTGGCTTACGTGGTGCTGCAGACGGAACCCAGGGCCGCTTGTGTGTCGGGTGAACACTCTACCAGCTGAGTCACACCCCCTTCTCCTCCTTCCTAACCCTCGGAGGGACAGGACTGGGAGGGCACACACCCACTTGATAATAGGACTTCTCTTTGGTTGATGGGAGTCTCTGTGTGTCTTGCATTCTTATTTTGGTGAAGTTTCCTCTAATAAGAATGCATTCTTCTTTTAAAAAAGTAAATAAATTCTGCTTGAAGATAAGAGAGAAAGAAATCACCTGCCCAACATAATGGTACATATATCCGACCTTTGCCTCCCCCCCCGTGTCCAACTTTCATGCTTATCTAGCATCTGGGGTTCCCTGATGAACCCACAGAACCAGATTTATTGCAGAATAATCTGGGATCGCTTCTCAAACATGTCTGGGACCTGCAGGTATCAAGTTTCTCTTGAAATGTGAAGTTCTTAGGATACCACAAAGAGAACAATGTCTTACTTTCATTTTCCTTACATTAATTCCTGGAAATAGGGAGTCTATCGTGGTGCAGACGGGCTCCTTGGCCTGCTGGCTCACTTCGATGGTGTCTTCAACAGTCAAGACAGCGACCCCAGCCTCAGCAAGTGCCCTGCCTCTGTCACCATCCCACCGGAGACGGGACTTCCATGTCGGGAAGTTTTCTCCGCAATCGTCTCTCCAGTTGAGCTTTGAGGCTTAGGGATGAAAGATGGTGCCTAACTAAAGAGTGTTCCTATCAGAGCCTTTCAAGCTATAGCACGAGCTGTGCTTACAGCGTCAGAAGCAGGACTCTATCCAGGGTGATTGGTTTGTCGGCATAGCTACAGTTGGCAAAGCTGTCTAAGTATTTCCCATGATGCTGAAAGAGCTCAGAGAGCATCTTGGGACCCGTGCTCCCTGATGGATGGAAATGTTTCAGTTCTTCGGCCTTTCGTTAATTCAATGCTTGGTGACAGGTCCGGACTCGAGCGCTGCCCAAGTCCAGGGTGGGGAGGTGGGAGAGGCAAGCGGCGGGGATGCGGGTGGGGGGGTGGGGGGTGGTCCCTGTTCACATGCAGAGTCCGTTAAAGCTTTGTTTCATACGGGTCTGCACAGATCCCAAAGGGAGGGTTAAAAATTCTGTGTTGTGTTCCTGAATGTCTGGCACAGCATCAGGGAATGTAATTCTGATGAAACACGTTCAACATGAACTTGAAGTACATCTCTGCCCTCTGGACAGAGAACTAAAAACACGCCTCCCCAGTCGGTCAGTATGTCGGGGTCAGTATGTTGGGAGAGAGGCCAGAACACACATCCTTCACAATGCTAGGTGTTGTGGGTGGTGCTGGGACAGGGAGGGCACTCGGAGATGTCATCTCTTAAGTGCGGTTTAGTGATCCTGGTTAGTACAAGGCCTGGTTTTCGACGCATAAATGTGCTGTTTCCCAACTAGTCTCCATGATATAGGAAAGTCTGACATTTAATGGCCAGGATGGGGGCCTTGAGATGAAATCCTGTTTGGGGACATCGTGGTGTAGGCGGAACTCTTGATGCCAGCTACCCGGATAAACCGTCTCTTGGTTCTCCATGTCCTTACCCATCACGACAATATTGGAGCTCTGTCGTTCAGATAACACATGGTCATTGGCTGCTGTCGTAAAGTTAGAGTCTGCGATTACCCGTATGAGACCCTTCAGCTCCCCTGTAGAGGGGTGGCTGTCTGGGATTCCGATTGTCTCACCTCCAAACGCATGTTTGTAGCTCTCCCTCGACGACATGTGATTTTTGCAGGAAGGGTACTAGGGTATATAACAGGTGGAAAGTTGGGGGCCAGATGTGGGCGACACAGCTTCCGCGCTGTTTTCCGTCGCTTTGTGATGACACGGTTGCCTTTGAGTCACGGGTGCTGCAGTCACTCCTGTGAGTAACTGTAAACAGTAGCTATAAACAAACCCTTGCCTCGCTGCCCTGGGCTGGAGGAGCTCATCTCTCTGGGCTGTCGGCGTCCCTCTCAGAGGTTAGTAGATGCTTCCCACGCCTCCCCAAGACAGGCAACACGAGAGGTGTTGGCGTTTTTGTTTTGTTTTGTTTTGTTTTTTACCTGCTATGGCTGTGAGCTGATGAACTCGGCCAGCAAGCTCATAGCATTTAGCACCGGGTTGCAGGGCTGGCACTCCACAGACAAGATTGAGAAGGACTTGATCACAGGGAATAAGGCAGGGATTAGGGAGAGGAAGTGAGGACAGCAGGCAAGCAAGCGTGGCTGAAGGTTTGGTCCATTTCCTTTCAGTCCTGTAGTCCGGCACTGGTTTGCTAACATAGGAGTCAGGTGAGGACTCAGAGACACCCCTCCCCCCACACAGGGAGGACTGTGGATTTCAGAAACCAGCCCGCCCTCTCAGACATCACCCAGCCTTGGACTTCTCCCACAGACCCCTTCGCCCACAGCAACACACAGTAGGCTCTCATTAAATATGTGTTGAAAGATCAATGCATCTGACTGAAGAGTGGGGATGACTCGACCCCAGGAGCCCACTGAACAAACACTGAGGGCTTTGCTTTAGTCTGTCTGGTTTTTTTCTCCCCCCCCTCAGAACAAACAGAGAAACCCAAACCAAAACAAACATATAATCAGAAGAAGCTCTGCCGCCGAAAGGGCCTGAACAAACGCATTTGACTTACCGTTGCAGGGAAAATCAATGGCTCCTCTGCCCACCACTGAGCCCTGGGCGTTGACTTGGAAACCCTGGCTTCGCCCTGGACGAATGCTCTCCTGAGCCCATAGGCTGAGTGCACAAGGGCCAGCTTCCCCAGCTGGCTGAGCATGTGGGGATCCATTCCCTTCTTGGAGCACAGCCACGGCCTCAGGTATTAACCTCTGCCTTCCAGCTCACATAGCAAATGGACATTTAAAAACATGTGTGTTGGGGGGGGTGTCGCGGAGGGAGCACAGTAAACCGGGCAAGTGTGGGATTTAGAAGCTTGGAGGGTGAGTCTTGGGATCATCTTGGGAGGGTTTGGTAAAAGTTAAGAAGATTGGCCCAGAGCTCGCACAGGATTCTGGGAACCTTATTCAGATTCCTCTGTCATACCTGAGATCAAGACCCGCATCTTCATCTTAAGATGCCCTTTAGGACATTCCGCAGTGAAGGAATGGCAGAAAACTGTTCTCCTGGGATATGGAGCTGACCTTGCTCTGAACGATCCCCAACCTTCTGCACCCAACGAGGGGTCTTAGGCTGGAGAGAGCTCCTCTGCAGAGCACCGTTTGGGGGGACCAGCCAGGCAGGCTTAAAAAGGGACCTGTGCTCTCTAAAGAGCACACAGGGGTATCCACTTTCACGGAAGCAAAGGACAGGATTGTGGTTTCCAGAGTTGGGAGAGGGAAATGGGGACCATGTGAATAAAGGTTCAATTATGAGAAATGATCGACTTCAACTTCCAGAGGACTCAGGGGGTAGAGCACTAACCCAGTATACGTAAGGCCCTGGGTTCAAGCATCAGTAAATAACTATATTGTGTGTTTAATCTGACAAGAGGGTTGACTTCGTGTTGAATGTTCTTACTATACAAGCATCTTTAATTGTTAGGTTATTTTTGCTTATTTTAAGAATGAACAGAAGGAAAACAGATATGTAACACAGAAAGAAAAAAACCTCAAGGCTGGGAATCATGTGACTCACACCTATAATTCCAGCTCTTGGGAAGTTGAGGCAGGAGGTTTCTGTGAGTTGGAGGGCAGCCTGGGCTGCATGTTGAGTTTCAGGACAGCCTGAGCTACAGTGTGGTTACTTTACCTATGAGAGCTTGCTTTGACTAATGATGATTGGTTCATCGTGAGCAGCAAGGCGTTGGCAGGCGGGCCTGAGCTGTCTAAGGATGCTGTTGCGCATGAGCCAGCGAGCAGCTTTGCCAAGGTTTTCGTCTGAGGTCCTGCCCTGACTTTCTCAACGATGCACTATCACTTGCAAGCTGAAGTAAATCCTTCCCTCCTTGGGTTGCTTTGGTCACGCTGGATATCACAACAGCGCTGGACAGCAAACTAGGAGTCCACCAACATGAATGTGTCACTGACTCAAATGCTTCAGGGCCAAGAAGATGCAAGAGGCGGCAGTGTGGAGAGGGTCAGGGTGACAGTCTCGGGAGCAGACTAGGAGGCGCAGTGAGACCAGGTCCTGAGCTCGCCATTAGTCAGAGAGCTTGCGGCTGCTGTCCTGCCTCCCAAGTCTTTGTTTGGGAGCCCAGCTGCTGCTAATTAATAGTCATAACTGGGAATAAAATAATATTAGTTTACACATGCATGTGTTTCTCAAGCCCGGTTAATAATGCTCTACTCTCAGAAGTATTAATCTTAGGAAGCTGACGAGTCCCAAGCCGACAGTCGTGGCGTGAGTCTTCTTATCTGTGGCTGGAGCTCTGAGCATCACTTCACTTGAATAATGCCCAGTGATATTCACCAGTAGCTTTCACATTTTCTTTAGCTACGATAGACTGTAGTTGCATGTAGATTTTCTGAATATAACTGAACCGACAACCAGGAGCCTGCACGGGACTGAGAGGACCTTCTGCATATATGGGACAACTGTGTGACTTGATCATTTTTTTGTGTGACTCCTAACAGTGGGAGCAGGGATGTCTCTGACTCTGCTGCCTGCTTCTGGAACTCTTTCCTCCTATCAGATGGCCTCATCCAGTCTGCATAGGAGAGGAGATGCCTAGTCTCCCTGCAACTAGTGACTATGGCTGGTTGATATCCATGGGCAGCCTGCCCTTTTCTGAAGAGAAAGGGAAGAGGTTGGGGGCGGGCATAGGATGGGAGGAGGGACTGGGAAAAGAGAAGGGAGTCGAAACTTCAGTTAGGATGAAAACAGCAAAAATAAATAAATACAAAAGAAACAGAAAGAATTATGTTTAACTAGTTTTGTTACAGTAGTACACGAATAATAAGATCGAGATTGCCTGTTCCTCATGAGTTCAGGCTGTCTGCATATTACCAGTAGTTCCAAGATCATCTTTGTAAACTGGGAATATTAACACCGATGAGTTAGCATCCATTCCTGACATGTGACTGTTGTGTCAGAGACGGTACACTCTGGCCTTTAAGCGGGTAACTGTAGCCGTGAACATTTTGCCCAACAGGGCATCAGCAGAAGTGAAAAGAACACTCAGGGGTTGTGTTTTTAGGAGGAGCTCGCCATTCTCCCCTCCCTCCCTCCTGACTTGGAAGCAATGACAACTTATGTTACAGTGTATGTTACAGCAACTTATAGCATACACTGGAACATATCATGCTGTAGTGCCGGGGTAGATCCATTGCCTAGCAACAACAGGGCCTTGGGTTCCGTCCTCAGTGCATACAATGAAATGCCCAGGAGATGGCTGGGATGTAGCGCAATTTGTAGAGATTTGTCTCACATGCATGAAGCCCTGGGTTCCATCTCTACCAAAACCAAGCATGGCGGGACACGCCTATAATCCCGGCACTCAGCAGGCAGATGGATCAGCCATCTGAGGTTCTTGGCCACCTAGTGAGTTTGAGGCCAGCCAAGGCTATGCTAGACCCTATTTTTTTAAAAAAGAAAAAAATATTTTAACATGGAGGGAAGGGAGGAAGTAGGGAGGGAAGGAAGGAAGAAGGGAAGGAACGAAGGGAATATGTCGAAAATGCAGGAAGACAGGGAAAGGAGAAGCTGGCCCTGACATGGTTCTAGAAAGAATGAGGTGACGTTTGCTCCGTAATCATCTGACTAACACTTCAGAGCACTGCTCATATTTGGACAAAGTGAGAACCAGCATCAGGAAAGACACAGTCCCGGGCTATCCCTGGTATACTATCTCTCCAGGGGAGCCTAGCCAGTGTGAGTACAGGCAGACAGTCTTTCCAGATGGTTCTGCCGAGTGGGGCATCTGTGAGACAGGGTTGGCAGCAGTGGCTCTGCTTTCTAAGGCTGGTCATTGTCAGCACACCTAGAAGTACCCGGTGGCTGCAAGAGGTGACCTATGCCTCCAGCGATCTTTTGACAATGGCTGGGAAGAGCCTGAAGGTGTCCGTTTTGCAGTCCTGCCCCTCCACTCCAAAGCTTGGTCTGACTTCCCTAGCCCTGGGGTACAGAGACCTCGAACATATCAGGTGCCCAGTAAGTTCTGTGACCAAAGAACTCACTTTATCTGAGGGCACCTGGCTAGCTTTAGGGCTACCATCTTGGGAAAACTGATAGTGTCTCTTTGCTTTGGGCGGGGGGAGGGGGTGGGAAAGACAAAGAAAGCTGAGCAAACACGGGATTGGAAACTGGCCCTTGATTGACGCGGCAGCTTCAAGATAGCTTTAATTTTTGTAGATTTTTTTTAAACCAATAACTTGTTTTGCTTAGCAGAAGTCGTTAACTATTCTGTAGGAACCCGAGTCAGGGAGAGGCAGCACATTTTCTGTTGGGCAATGGCTGAGGTCTCCCAACCCATCCACTCACCTGGCCAAGCCAGCGACTTCACCAGCCAGCGGCAAGGGCCTCTGGCCACCCACCTGACAGGATCCCTTCTTTTCACAAGAGGCTTCATTACTAAACAGAGGCTGCGCATCTCAGGGGGTGCTTTAAACGGTTGGAAGCAATGAAGGGGAAATCAGTGCAATTACCCAAGCCCTTGGCAGCGGGGTCACAACGGAGGAAGAGCTAGCTGTGTGCCCCAGGTACCACGGGAGCATCGTATACGCCGCATCGTCACCATAAGCTGTGTCCCAGAGCTGAGCGCCTCTCAGGATGGGAGCGAGGATGGACGGGTGTTACCGGTGAACTCCTTCCCCTGGGCCGTCGTGTACAGAGGCCCTGGCCCTCAGAGCAGACCCCCCCCCACACACAGCAGACCCCCCTCCCCTCCCCCCCCACATACACACACCCTGCTGTGCTCATCTGCCCTCTTCATTGTCTTTACTAACAGATTTTTACTGAAGTTGAGAACACGCCCAGGAAACTGAATACATTTATTTCCTAGCCTCCTTTCAAATTAGGAATGGACGGTGATGTTTGTAGAAGTCCAATAAGCCTTCTGGGAAGATGCTCCCTTCGCCCAGTATTGCGTCTTCCTGCTTAGAAAGGAGGTGTGAGCAATGGATGGAGTCCCGGCAGCCGTCCTGGCACCATGCGGCAATTTTGGGGTTAATTCATGCACTTGAAATCAAGGAGCAGAAAGACAGGAGAAGGTCACACTGCCTCGGGTTCTTAACCTCCACACATATACTCCGTGCCCCATGCATTGAAGCGCTCTCTCTCTCTCTCTCTCTCTCTCTCTCTCTCTCTCTCTCTCTCTCTCTCTCTCTCTCTCTCTCTCTCTCTCTCTCTTCCTTTCTTTCCCTCTCCCTGCCTCTCATGTCTCTGTCTCTCTCTCCCTCTTTCTCTGTCTCTGTCTGTCTGTCTGTCTGTCTGTCTGTCTCTCTCTCTCTCTCTCTCTCTCTCTCTCTCTCTCACACACACAAATCTCTTCAAGAGCCTCTAAAGTCTTTACCTACCAACCAAGGCACTTAATGATTTTTATATGGTACCTTGACTCCTACCAGGCTCGCTTCCGGGAAGCTGAGTTTACATGATCCCCATGATCCCTGGCCCAGTTTCATGCCAGAATGAGCTCAGTCCCATTCAGCCTTAGGTCTCTTTTCTAGCTGCTCACTCAAAGACTGTGGGTGTAAGCTCTAGACAGTGAAGAGCCTGCCTAGACCACGGAGTCTCAAATCCCTATGCAGGGCCTCTATGGTGTCTGGGAGTCTACAGATGGGCCTCCCTCCACATCTGAGAGTCAGCATAAGAAGTCACTAGGGTCACTGGCAGTGTCTGTGTCTTTCCTGGCATGTGCTTTGGGACTTAGATATGTAAGAAGACGGGCTGGTTTCTTTCTCTCAGCACAGACTCTGCTGTGCACCCTGACCTTGAGTTTGGCTTGGCTTCCTCATCTTAGTCAGACCCCAGAAGGCATTGAGTGCACCCCAATACGTAGCCCAGCATAGGGATTCCTGATGACGCCCCCTCCAAGTCTGGCTTCGGACCTGCTCATGTCCAGGCCTCATTCTCTTGACGTGAGGTACCATTCATTTCACAGATCGACTATAAGGACAGACACTGGTGTAGGAAGGCCGAGAGCTGTGCTGTTAGAACAAAGGGAGCCCTTGATAAACCATCAGCCACAGCAGCAGCACCGCTGCAACCTAGTAGCGATGTTACCTCTGTCAACTTGACAAGATTTAGAATCTCCCTGGAAGCACATCTCTCTGGGTGTGCCTGTGAGGGGCTGTCCTTCCCAGACTGAACAGAAAGGGGAGCCAACTGAGCACCCACACTCACGCTCTGCTCTCTGACAGCGGCTGTTCCGCAGGCTCCCGCTGAATGACAACTGTGGATCATACTAAACCTGTCCTTAAGGGTTTTTCCCTCCTGAAAACTGGCTTTCACCACCACTCAAGTTCAACAGCATTTTGTTACAGCAACAAGAAGAAGCTAATTCTGCCATAACCCGAGGTTCCCACCACTGTGCAAAATGGTGACTCGTTAAAGTGTGGGTATGGCTGAGGAATCCAGTTCCATTTTAGAGGTAAAAGGGTGGTTTTAAAAGGTGACCTCCTCCCTTATTTTTTTCTACCTCCCAATTTTATTTCCCATCCCTTGGTTTAGTGGCATCGTTATTTGTTCTTTGGGTCATAAGAAGAGATGATTCCAAACCAAACCCTCACCCAGCGTCTTCACTCCCCCGGGGTGGACTGGCAGGCGATTTTTCCTCACGTGGGAAAGTTTGGGTTAACCTGCCTGTTTGTCCCCTCAGACGCCCCTTCAGTGATTCCTGAGGTGTGGTAAGACAGACAGAAATGTGAAGGCTCACGTGGGATAAGTGTGCAGATGTAATAGACTTGATTTGGAGGGAAACTGGCTTTCACCACCACTCAAGTTCAACAGAGAGGGCTGTGCCGACTAAAAGTGTTGAGTTGTTGACACCCCAAACCACTCACAGCCCAGATTAGACACATCAAGCCTTGGGAGGAATTTTTAAATTCGAACTGTTCCGCATCCCGCTCACGCCGTATTTCCTTCAGTATCACACAGAAGGGAAACACAAATACACCGGAGGCCTGAGAAGACCCTGCAGGCCCGAGCAGGTTGTGTCTCCTGATCGATTGGGACTGACAGAGAGAGGCTGGAGACGTTCGTGAGCCAAGACCCTGGGCCAGACTCTTCTGCCCATGCCGGGATAGACTGTCAAGATTAAGGGCTGGGCTGTCCCAGCGCTGGGGTCCTGAGTGACAGATAGGAGCACTCGGCG